GAATTACTGGTGATGACTAGCTACAACGCTACAACATAATGGGGGTGTTCCAGTTTTGCTTTATTTATTTTTTAATTTTTATGCTGTGATCTGTCTATTAAAGGAGCTTAAGAAATACTACCTTAAAAACTCTTGCATTGGGTAGATTTTCAAAAAAGTAGGCAAATCTAGTAAGATTAATACTAAGTTCCCTAATTCATATTTTCTCCTCAGTTCACTTACTTTAATAAGTACAAATTAGCCTTAATTATGTCCATCTAACCTATGAACAAATATGCTGCAGTATTTAATATCAGTTTAAGACCATGGAGTTACTAATCTGTCGGCTTTCAGCTGCTTTTTAAGAGGAAGAATTGGGAGACTATTTTATATTTGTTTCATACACACAAGTATGTATATGAGTTGGAGTATAAATTATTAGGCTTGACGTATAAATTACCAGATAATTAACTTGATTACCTTCCAGGCATCTAGTGGAAATTTTAAACACTTTAATTTACTCTCCTTAGAATTTCCAGTCTGTTCATTGATAAAGTAATTGTTTCTACTTACTTGTCTCATAGGAAGCTTTAAATTATTGATAGTGTGTCTAAAATGATATTTCTAACTTTTTGAGAAACTACATGGAAGATGGAATTTTCTTATTACACTCATCTAGTTCTGATTAATATAAATTTTAGGAATTATATCGAAAAGGACTTATTGGCCAAGAGCACCAAAATAATCTATTTTACTTGGGAGATGTAGCAAGTATGTAGAAGTATTATTTTTTTGAATGATTACCAGAGTAATGGTTCTGTGCTCTCTAATTTATTCAGATGTCCAAGCAGCATACAAAACCCTCAATAGATGCTTAGATAACCGCATTTCACTTGCAGTTACCATTTGAGTCTCCCTAGCCTGACAGTCTGATGGATAATCCAGGTAGTCCTAGTTTCATGGGAAGATGGAGATACAATTGTTTGTACTTCAGCTATAGAAAGATAAATAGTTGCTGAAGCAGTGTCCTGCACTCCTTTTGGTTAAAAAAAGCATATTTAGCAAATAAAATTCTCTAACACAATGTCCTCAACCCTAGTTGTGGATCAGAATCACCTGCGGAGTTTTCACAAATGCAGATTTTTGTAAAAACATGTTAAGAGCTGCTGATACCCCATATTTATAAAAGAAATCGAGTTTTTCACTGCTGCTCAGTAGATGGAAATGCAGAAGACAGAAGTCGGGAGTCTTAAGATTTTCCAAACAGTGAAGAAAATTAGAAAGATTGTTATCAGTGGTAGATTGAATCAGACATGAAAGTGTAAAGCTCATCTGAAATTCTTTTAAACCATTTGTTTAAAAATCATATCAGATCAGGCATCTTAGGTTTGTCCAAGGTCTCTATGCCACGGTATTACATACTTGTTCATTAATTCAAGAAACTAATGGAATGAGAGGTAGTTAAAGAAACAAGGGCTTTTTATGAATAAGTGCGGAGACTAAATCGGCTCGACATGCACTCGTTTAGCAGATATTTATGAAGTAATACCACGTGTCAGACTCAGTATAGGTGATGCTGGGGAATCTATAGTGATCACATGGTTATTTGACATCACGGAGAGTTCAGTGTAGTGCAGAAGATAAGCCTGAAATAAATAACTACAATGAAATATGCTGACTGTTGAGAGTATAAATAGCTGTGGGAACAGCAAATGAACTTCATTATTAAAATATGGACATAATATAGTAGAAATTCTCCCTAAAGTCACTGAATGTCAACTTTTCAGTGCTGACCTGTCTTGTTAATAATTTGATTCCGAGTTCGTGACCAGCCTGAGCAAGAGTGAGACCCCGCCTCTACTGAAAATAGAAAAAAATATTAGGCAGTCAAATAAAAATAGAAATAAAAATTAGCCAGGCATGGTGGCTTGCACCTGTAGTCCCAGCTACTTGGGAGGCTGAGGCAGGAGGATCCCTTGAGCCCAGCAGTTTGAGGTTGCAGTGAGCTAGATGGCACGGCACTCACTCTGGACCGGGCAATAAAGCGAGGCTCTGTCTTAAAAAAAAAATAACAATAATAATTTGATTCCTAAAAGGCATCCACCATTCCAACTGCCCATGAAACTGGGACTACTTTGACTATCAGTCAGACCATCTTAGAAGGCTGGGGAAATACAAAGCCAAAGAATTTCAAAAGATAAATTCAGACATTGTCAGCCAAAGGTCCTGCCAGTTCACCTGGAAATATTAATTGTAAAATTTTTTAGAACTTGCATTTATTTAAAATACCCACTTCAGCTGAATCTTCTAAAGTGGAATTTTTGGGGTACTATCTTTTCCTTCATTTCTTAGCATGTAATATTATTTCCCATTTACATAGTACTTCAGATTTCCAAATAAATCTTGCATATACTATTATTTAAGTGGTAACACTATCTTGTGAGCAAGGCTGGATTGTCATCACTGGCCTCATTTTATAGATGAAGACACTGAGGCTCTGAGAGATCAGGTGTCAGGATGGGGGCAGAGAGTGCTCCAGAACAAAGACATCATGATTCTGAGTCTAGAACAATTTTCTACCACACCTATGCCGTGAAGACCATAGTACATGGTGGTTACAAGCATGAGTCAGCCAGAAATCTCAGTCCCCAGTCTACGACTTACATGCTATGTGACCTCAGGAAAGTTTTATCACCTTGCTGAATTCCAGTATCCTCATTTGCAAGTTGTACCTATGAAATAAAATCTGTGCATCTCTGGCATCCTTCACCCACAAGCTGAGATCACAAGACTACCTCATGAGGTCGTTGTGTGAAGTAAGCAAGGAAACACATGCGAAGGATTTTAGCACAGTGCCTGACTCATATAAAGTGATTAATAAGCATTAGCTATGACGATGAGGAGTGTCATGCTGAGGGATCAAAGGGAAGAACAAATCAGGTATAAAACCAGTGGTATGCTGGTAAATGTTTAACAATTGGTCCTCTGGAGAAAAAAAAAATCAAGCCCTTATTTGAAACATTTGCCAATTTCTGTGGTGTAGATGACTCCCACAATGGCAATTTCAAGTTACCAGTATGATGTCACAGAACGTGGGTTTGGGAAGAGATGTGTGTGGTTGGCTCCGGTGAAGCAGTCTGAGCCAGTTCCAGCGCTGCAAAGACTAAAAAGGAAAGCGGTGCAAACTGCCAAGTGTCTCCCTTTCCCTCTGACTATAAAGGAGATGTGGCTGCTTTGTTGATAATCTTATGTTT